CACTCACTCACTCACTCACTCACTCACTCACTCACTCACTCACTCACCACCAGAGGGCTGGGGCTGGCTTGGTTGCAGCTCCTACAGCAGGAGGGCCGCCTGAATCCTAGGTCCTTCCCCCACGTTGCTTGACTCAGACCCTGAGAGCCCAGCCCGGAGTATCAGCAAGCATCCCTCAGCACAGGCGGCAGCACAGTGAGGCAGGGGGACAGGAGGCTGCCTTGCTCAATGCCTTTTCACTTTGTTACATCATTTTCCACGAGGTCCCAGAAGGGCTGAGAGCAGCAGCTCCGGGGCCATGTGGCTGGGGCCCCACAAGCCGTTTCTCTGCAAGCCACCCATTCATTTCTACCACCCCAAAGACAAGGGCTCTTCTGCTTCCCGTGGCTCCCCACCCCACATGCACACGAGGCCTGTGCCCCTCGTCACACTTGGTCACATTGACTCCTCTCAAGAGCCAGGCTGTGGGATTCTCTGGCGAGGTCACTGATCCCTCACATAAACCAGCTCTCCTTGTGGGGGCAGACATGGCCAGGTGGGAAGAAGGTGTGAAATGCAATGGGGTTTCTCTGCCCCCCCTCCCATTTTTAAAAAATTTTCTTTTTGGGGGGCAGCTAGATGGCGCAGTGGATAGAGCACCGGTCCTGGATTCAGGAGGATCTGAGTTCAAATGTGACCTCAGACACATAACACTTACTAGCCGTTTGACCCTTGGCAAGTCACTTATCCCTACTGCCTAGCCAAAAAAAAAAAAAATTTCTTTCTTGTGAAGGGAAGGATGGAAAACGGTCTTCATGGGAGCATAGTTTCTCCAGGTTTTGGGGTCTTCCCATTTCCAGGCAGCTTCACCTCTTTACTCAGATTCAGGGAAAGCTCCTGCCGCCTAGTCAGGAAGCTTCTGGCAGGCACAAGGGTGGTCATGATTGGGTCAGAATACCCTGGGCTAGCCTGGGGTCCTGCACACAGCTGGTGCTTACTGTCTACTGAACTGAACACATCTGGGCACGGCACTCTTCATCAGCTCCCAATAAAATGTCTGAATCAAGTCCCAATCGGTCAGCCTTGACTTCAGGGTGCCCCACAGGTGATGCCCCTTCCCTCCTCTCTGGCCTCATCTCGTGCTCCTCCCTCCCCTCCACACGAGAGCCCACTCTGGGTCATGACTCCTGGGCCTGGAATGCCCTGCCCACTGCATTCCCAACGTCCAACACAGATTCCATCTCTTCCGGGAAGCCTTGCCCATCGCACCATGCCACTGGCAGGCCCTCCCTGGCCCTGAGCTCACTCAGCACTAACTGCTCCTCCTTCAGGGCAGTTACATATTATTTTAATCAGTCATCTACTGCTATGTCAAATGAGAGCAGACCCCAGCCCTCCACTAACCTTCACATCTCCCCCAGGGGCCTGGCTTTGCATGCGGTCAATGTTTTCCAAGCCAAATTAATCCATTTTTTTCATTCAGCAAATTCAAGTTGTCCCAAAAGTCTTATTGAAGTCCTAAGATTCTGACCTGACTTTTGAGATGCTCTTTGTGTTATCTGTTGGGTCCCAGCTAACCCTAACACCTCAGGTGAGGTATTGTGGGTGACATGGAGGCCACAGCTGGTGAGACTCCCCCCCGAGGAGGGGAGAGAAGCTGATCACGCACGGGTCACTGTAAAACAAGGCAGAATTAAAAGGAGGCTTCTGAAGAGGAAGAGGCCACGTCCAGCTGGTGCAACTGAGGAAAGCTTCATGGAAGAGACGTTGTATGAGGGGCCTCCAAGAACAAGGACATGCCACGAAGACTTTCGTGAGCTGATGCAGAGGCGAATGAGCAGAACCAGGAGAACACGGTCCACAGAAAAAGCAGCAGTGTCTGAGGATCAACTCAGCTATTCTCAGCAACACTACGATCCAAAGGACCCAGGATGAGAAACGCTCCGGCAGGCTGTGAGAGCAGGCCGGACCGTGAGAGTGGACCAGAGCAGACTTTCTTCCTTTCTTCTTCTTGCTCCGCCCCCTAACCTCCACAACTTGACCAATGTGGAAATAGGTTTTGCATGACTTCACGTGTATAATGCGGATCATACTGCTTGCCCTCTCAACGGGTGGGGGAGGGGCAGAGAGAATTTGGAACTGAAAAAAGAAACAAACCAAAAAGCCCCAAAGGAATGAGGAAGGTAGATTTTTTCCAGGCAAGAGAGCAGCAACAGAAAACCGATGGAATCCTGTAGAACCCCAGAAAGTAGGCAGACACATGCAGGCCCACTTGGCCCAAGAGGGTAGTTCACTGACAACGTTTGTGGAGAGGAGTTCTCCAATCCAATCCAATCCACATTTTTTAAATGCCAACTATGTGCCAGGCGCCGAGGTAAGTGGGGGGGGTATGCTTAACAAAAAGAAACAGCCCCTGCCCTCAAGGAGCTTGCAATCTAACAACCCACAAAAGGAGGCAGGAAAGGGAGGGGAAAGGACCCCACAGGCCGAAACCAGACAGGGCAGCAGATACAAAGCAGAGTGAGCCAAAAGTCCAGCTTCTGCCCTCTATGAAGGAAGGCGCCGGGAGGAGTGTGGGCCGGCCCTCCAATCAAAGGGAGAGGAGGCTGAGGGAGGTGGGTCGATCAAGGCTGGGGTTAGCAGCTAGAAACGGACTTGCTCTCTCTCTGTAAACATGCTGTTTACTTTTCTGTACTTATGTTGTTCTCCCCCCTCCCCCCACTCCCAAAGGAATACAGGCTCCTGGGAGGCAGGGGCCTGGGAGATGCCAAGCATTTATTAACAGCTTGTCTCGTGGTGAACACGCTAAAGCTCCTCTAGCAAAGGAAGGCCCAGAGGTGACAAATTTTATCAGGCACCCAGGAAGCAGGCCCCAATGTGCACAGCTGATGACACCTTACGAAGAACTTTAAATGAAGAGAGGGTAGACATGCCCTTCCCAAGCCAGCTTCCAACCTATTAAATGCCCTTTCTGCAATGCACTGGTGGCCAGATGCGTAGAGATTTCCAAAAGGCCTTCACGTTCTCCAAACCAGGGATCGAGAGGGGAGAAGACCCAGGTGGCGCCGCTGGCCGCTGACACATAAAACTCAGGCCCAGGACCCACTCAGAAACAGAGCTCGAAGAATCTGTGAGAACACCATGTAACCGAGGGGTTCTCAGATGGGCCATTTTGGGACCACCTGAACTCGGAAATCCCTGGAAGAGAAGGAAAGAGGCCCATAGGCACTACAAATCCAGATGCTAAATAAGTTAAGCATTAACGAAAGTAAGAAACACAGGATTGAGCAGGCTCCTTGGTGTCATGGGTGACTGATTAGAAGAAGGTCTCCCAGCCCTAATTGTCTATTCATTCAGTCAGTCATTCATTCATTCACTCCACCAGGCAGGTTTAGAGACTGCTGGAGACAGAAGAGATCTCCCTGAGGTCCTAGCGGTGCCATGACTGACCCCAAATCCCACTTCTCCTCCATGATTTACATGAGGGGGCTCTCCAAAAGACTAGTTGGTGAAGTCAGCTGAAGGGAACATGGAGAGCACCTTGGCACAGAACAGTGGAATAAACAGTGGCTAAGTTCCCAGGCTATCTCAGTCACAACATGGCCCAACACCTTGGGCTGTATGGTGATGTCATCAGTATGAAGAACTCGTGGGGCGCAGTGACCCTGTTACTTAGCGCCACAGCAAAGGGCCTTGGTAGCAGTTAAACAACTTGTGTGTTAGGAAGAGGACCTGAGCCAAGAGCATGGCTTCCTCCAGAGATCCTGACTGCTTCAGCATGAGCTGAACACTTCTATAAACAAACAGAAACCTCAGTTCAGGATCTTGAGCAGAAAGGGCCAGGAAACTGGTGAGCAAAGTGGAGGAAGGGGGCAAGAAAGCAGGGAACAAAGGAAGAGGGACGGAAGAAGAACCCAAGTCTTTCCCCTTGGGCCGGGCCAGGCCAGGTCAAGCCGCCTGTGGAATTTCTCCAGTCCCTCCATGCATCACTTTGCTAGTAGCCTGCTAAGAATCCAATCCTTAAGAGTCCCCTCACACTGCCCTTTACAAGCTTCCTACCTTGGCACCACCCGGGGCCGCTCTGACTCCTGGCTCCTCTTCCAGGGCTTCTTAACCCTGGTTAAAGCCTGGGAACTTCTAAAAAAATCTCTCTTTTCATAACCGCATTTGACTCCAGGCTTCCTCTGTCATCCGATGTATGTTCTTTTATGCATTTAAACACACGACTGAGAAGGGTCCTGAGGCTCCACCAGACTGCCTGCCTCAGGGGGCCAGGACCCAAAATCAGTGAAGATTTCGTCCCACCAGGAAGGCCTCAGTGGAGACAGTTTCATCAGTTATAGCAGGAAACTCTCTTAGTTTCCTCTTACGCAAAATGACGGAGATGACGCAGACTCCCCAGGTCACTCCCAGCTCTTTCCCATAAACCTCTGAACTTCTAAGGTCCATCTATTCTCCAAAGCTCCAAGTTTTCCCCTGACAACAAGCGGCAGGCTCTGGGGCTACGCTGACACGGTGGGGTTGTGACAGCGGCCACTTTGGGGGACGGGAGGTCATCATCAAGCAGCGCCTTGGGCCTGTGCGCAGATTTCTAGCAGAACTGTTCTGCACAGCAGCTGTCACTCACACTTTCTGGATGGAAGTCTCTGCTCCGTGAGTCAGACTACAAAGGGCACTCATTTCAAGTCAGGGGCCTGAGGCCTCAGTTTCCTCGGTAAATCTGAAGGGGCAGTGACTCTGCTCTTCAGACGTTCTCTGAAGTCCCTCCCAGCTCCTGAGCCTCCCGCCCTGGGAAGGGCCGGTGTGCATATCACACTTAGGCAGTGTGAGCTGGGGAAAGGGCCCAAGTCTACTGGCAGGAAATCTCATTTCCAGGACTCACTGGGGCCCTGATTAGCAATGTGACCACAGGCAGGTCACTCATGTTCCAGCACAGTTCCCACCACCTCGGCTACTCCCCGCAGGGGTCCCCCTTGCCTCAGGGAGGCGGTGATCCCAGGGCTTTGGGCTCGGTGGAGGTCTGCTGTCCACGGCCGGGCAGCCAGCTGCAGCCAGCAAGCACTCAGGAGAAGAAGGGAATATTGTCACAGTCCTTACATCCACATGGGGAAGACAGAAGAAACACATGTGTTTTTAGATGCTGCCCCACCCTGCAAAAAAGAGTGAGAGTCAGGCCTGGCTGATATACCTGATCATCTTAAAACTGTCCATCACCCCCAATTACGCAAGCTGCAGCCAAGAAACGAAGAGCGGTGGTGATTCAGTGTGTGTGCACCCTTCAATGCAACACCCTCTTTCCACTGTCTCTCTCTTCCTGTCACACTCACACACACACACACCCCTTAGCAGACTGCCTTCGGAAGCTGTCATGGCCAAAAAAAAATGTCACTTTCTGGAGGTGAGTGTTGCAACTTAGAAGAGACTGGTCCTGAGCCAGCAGAAGGACAGGACTGCTAGAACTCTCCCCAGGCTTCTTCCTTTGACAAGCCAAAGCCACTTCCATGGCATACAAGGAGTCTGAGGAGGCCGGAAGGCCCAGCTCAGGAAGGAGCCAAAAGGGAGCAGGCCTCAGAACTGGCAAGACTAGGCAGGATTTAAGCACAGCCTCTACCACAGACAGGCTGGGGCACTGAGCCTCTCAGGGATCTATTAATAGTAGAGAAGTGCTAACCTGGATTAGGAGAGGGTGTGTCCTCATCTGGGAGGTCCTAAAACAATGAAGTCCTAGGGCCAAACTCTATCCACAGCTACACAGCAATATAAGGGCCTTCTTCACAAGAGGCCTGGGAGGCATTTAGTGCAATATTAGTATTTAGTGCAAATATTATCGCCCCCATTTTATAGATACAAAAACTGAGGCTGAGAGGTGAAGTTACATAAATGTTATCTATTAAGTCACTTGCCCACGAAGTGTCTGAGGGTGGATTTGAACTCAGCTGTCCTGACTCCAAGTCCAATACCTTCTCCATCATAACACAAGCTTCTTACGCTATGGGAAATTCCCCGTCCTTCCTCCCATGGTCTCTCAGTTTGGGCAAGGATAATGGATCATCTTTATGGGGGGGGGGGAGAAGAGGAGACGGAGACAGAGATAGACAGACAGAGACACAGAGGAGAGGGAGAAAGACAGAGGCAGAGAGGAGAAACCCAAGGATAGAAAAGGCCTGTCCAAGGAGGCAAGGACGTGGTTCTCTTGACTGCCTGTGTGGGGCTCTTCCCATCAGGACGTGCTGCTGAGCCAGGTGGGGCATTTGTTTGTTTTTCTATTATCGTGCTCAGCAGTGACCTCCGTGCCCTGACCTGTTCTCAGAAAGTCCAGTGTTAGTCAGGAGAAGAGAGGCGTCTGTGTCAGAGCAGGCTGCCACCTGGCCAGGGGTACGGGAGGGGGCAGAGTTCTGGTACAGGTCAGACTCCATGACCTCTGAGGTCCTGAGGTTTTCTAAGGCACAAAACAGCCACCTCACCACAGACCATGTGTTTTAACAACTGTTGCAGCTGCAATAAAAACAGACATACATTTGTCCAGCACCTTCAGTAAATGAATAAAAAAAGCAGGAAATAGCACAAGCATTATTCAAATTATGCCTTTACAGAAAGCACAAGGGAAGACAATGCTTCCGATAACCATCCACAAGCCCACGCACGTGCCCATCCCTGGGGAAAAACATTTCCAATGAATTTTGTTTCTGCCCCAACCTGGGATTTCCTTGGTGTGAGGAAGGTCCAGAGTGGGGCCTTCTGCACTGGAACGGATGGTCGGACAGTTACCTGAGGGACTGCAAGGTAAAGTGCCTTCCCTTTTATGGTCCGAGGCAAGAAGGGGGCCCAAGTCTTCCTGGTTCAAGGCCAGCTAATCGGTCATTCCTGCATGCTATCTCACAAGGAAAATAGATAAAGCTCTTCCAATTCATCAGAACCAAACTCAGTTTTGGTGGCAGTTACTTCATCTGCCTGGCCTCAGTTTCCCTGCCTGTAAAGGGAGGGGGCTGGACTAGCAGCTTTCTAAGATTTCTTTCAGGGCAGACATTCCTGTGAACATTCTCTAGGCCTGGCGAGAACTCCATTATCACACAGCAGTTCTGGAATTTTCAAGGAAAGCAGAACGTCAGGGCTGGAAGGAACCCCAGAGGCCGCCTGGGACCCCAGACATCATTAAGACGGGTGGCTTCTAAAATGTCTGACGCTACATCCCTATCAGTAATTTTTTTCTTGGTTAAGTATGTGGGGGACGAGGGTGAGAGGAAGGTTAAGAGGGGTTGGTGATTTTCCCCAATGGTGTCTGATGTACCTGCTGCAATCAAGGTGGGTTAGAACTGCCTGGGGGCCATCAGAAGGAGGAAAGTGGCAAGTTTCACGGAGGCAGGCCTGGGTGCAGTGGGGATGAACTGCGCTGTAATGGGGGGGGGGGAGGTGTAGCTGTATTAGTGAGAAGCACTCAGGGAGGGCGAGGCAGGACCCATCTTTCTACCCGCAAACCAGCAGGGGTCAGGTCACACCCTCTGCCTCACGTCATGGCTATCGCCCTCAGACAGCACTAATCTAGACCAACTCCCCATTCCACAAACACGGAAAACATAGCCTGAGAAGGCTCATGCAACACATGCCGAGTCACATGACCAACAGAGAGGCTCCAACCTGATCTGATTCGGCCATGCCACACTGGCCTGCCACAGAGGTGACAAGGAGTGACCCTTGGGGTCCTCAGTTTCCTCCTTTGTAAAGTGTGATGATTGGTCTCAAAGACCTCTGAGGTCCTGCCCCACCCATCTCTACGTTACAGAGCTGGGAGGCTGCCTTGTCCAGGGAAGACCCAAGCATGAATCCTCTCCACTACACACCCTACAAGTGGTCATTCAACCTTTGTGGGGGGAGGGATCCCCAAGGAAACCCACCCCCTTCAGAATAGCTTTAATCACTGGAAGTCTGTCCTGACCGCCAGTCCAAATGTGCCTCTCTGCCCCACCCCCGGGGCCAAGCAGAACATGTGACAGCCCTTCAAAGACTTGGGGCCAGCACCCAGCCCTCTCTCCCCATCCTTGCTTTTCTAGGCCAAATATCCCAAATTTCTTCAGCCAATCTTTTCACAACATGAGCGTGGTGCCCTCACTGTCTGGCCCGCTCTCCTCTCAACATCCCCCAGCTTACCAATGTCCATTCTAAAATGAGGGAAGAAGGGAAGGAGGGAGGGAGGAAGGGAGAAGGAAGGAAAGGGAGGAAGGACGGACGGACGGACACAGCTGACCAGGGCATACAGAGACTATCACCTCCACAGGCCCAGACACCCTCCTCAGCTGCCATATCCCACTGCTGAGTCATATTGCTCTGGAATCCATGAAAACCCCAAGATGTTTTCCAGATGACTGTTCTCCTGCCGCGTCACCCCCACCTTGTACTTGTGATCTAATTTTTGGAGGCCACAGTTAGGGCTTTGCATTTATTCTTCTCATTAGATTCCACCCCTAGCCTGGCCTCCTAAGATCTCTTTAGACCTTGACTAGTAGCTGGTACGACAGCTCCTCCTCACTCTGGGTCTTCTAAAAGTGGCTAAGCCTGTGCCATCTCCGCTTTTATCTACTGGATCTACGGCCTCTACACCTTTACCCAAGCGGTTAATAACACGTTAACCACCACAGGGCCAAATATCCCTGGCACACGTGGCTGGAGACCTCACGCCAAGCTGACGCTGAAGGAGCGGGTCAGAATCCAGAGCGTACCTCTCATCTCGTCCCTAAGAACAGCATGAGAGGTCCGTGATTTGCTACACTCCAGGCAAACTACACCTAGGGCATCGTGGCTAGACCAGCTTAGCAACCCAGGCACACAAGGATGTGAGGACAGCCTGGAAGCCGTGTGCTAGAGGAAGCCAGCCTGGCTCAGTGTAATCCCACCTGCCTTTTCTTGATGTTCACTTCCCTTCATTGTCCAGAATTGTGCCGGGAGCTGACTTCATTCACCGGACGATAGCTGCCAGACTCCACTCAATTCCGTTTTCTGGAAATCGAGGCGATTGCTTACTTCTCCAGGTCGGCAGTCCCCCGCCGGTTCTCCATTACCGGTCCAGGATCACTAAGCATGGTCCGGTAGTCACACCTGCCAGGTCTCCCTACCCTTCAGCACTAGGTTCCTCTGGACTAGGTAACCACCCCTGCATGGGCATCTCAGTGATGCTCCTCATCTCGAATACCACCTCCTTCTAAACCATGTGGGCACTGCCCAGTCTAGTTCTCTTAATCAAGAACACAGAAGCAAAGAAGTGCACAGCTCTGCCTTGTCTCTGATCTCAGTCCCCAGCAGACCTAGCCCTTTCTTTGAGAGGCCACTCTTCCAACAGCTTCTGAAAATCCTCCTTCACAGGCCCTGATCCATTTGGCTCCTTAGCACTCCCAACCCTACTCTCATGGGACCCCATGCTACACCTTGGTATTTACCCATTCATCTGGCCTTCTAGCCACCTCCCTCACGCACCTTTTAAAAGTCTAGGTTGGTTGGTGAATTCCTCATACATCCACACCAGTGTCTTTCAATA